TTGGTCTGTATCCTTCATTGACATTCTTGGGAATTTTACTAGCATGAGTCTCCCTCACTGGGATTCCCGAGGGCCTAGCTTTGGGTTTTGTTTCACTGCTCTTGTCATTTGGTGATGTTTGTTCATCGTTTGATATTTTCAGGTGGTGAAGAGTCATCCAAACTCCCTTCAAGAAATACCAGCGTTCACACAATCGTGCCAACAATATCAGCAGAGGAGTCGACTATCCTGCATTCCCGGACATAGTCACCTCTAGTGTTCAGCTTCATGTCTGGCAACATAAAGCTCCCAACAACATCCCCATCTTGCCAGCCTTCTTTGAGACGCAGCTGCCTTCTTAGCAACTTTTGTCTTGGGGTTTCTATTCCAGATTTTTTCAGATTCTGCAATTCATTGTTTAATTGATGGTCCTCCTCCATATCGTGCGTCTTCCCAGAGCCTTCTATCCTGAGACTCACATGCAGGCTTCCAAGCATCCAGAAGATACTGACGGAAGGACCGAGGGCTGCATGTTATGTGATAAACAATTCTTACTTCGCTTTTGTGTGGAGGAAGCCTGGAATGAGGCAAGACATAAAGACAGACCTTAATATACCCAGAGAAACATGTGATGTTAATCTATTCTAGTACCTCTTGAGTTCAAAAAGTCCTGTGAAGTAAGGAAGCTAAGACACAGCCTTGTCTTACACTGGTTCATACTGTCTGAACTGCCTAACACTAGTAAGCATAATACTGGATAATTATTGGCCCTGGATCAAGCAGGATGCACATCTCTAATCTACTATGGCAGCCTGTAAACTCAGTGTCCTTTTAAAAGAACTGTATTCACCATCACACTATTTTCAATGTACAAAAATAAAAATTGTTATTAGTACTAGAATACTGAAAACAAGCCAAATTATTACAGTAAATTGTGTTACCAATAATAGAATACTGAAAACAAGCCAATAATAACCACTGTTCAACTAGAATGCTCAAAAGCAAAAAGCATGTGTACATCACAGAAAATTCAGGTATCATCATGATAGGGTTAATATATATTTCAACACATATAGGATGAAACAGTAAAAAAATAAATAAACAAATAAAAATCCACAAAATCTCCTTGTAAAATAGGGGTACATCTTATGTGACAGCAAATACAGTACTTAGATCACTGAGAGTAGACCTACAAATATAAATTCACATGGCAGTAAACCTTTCAATATAAAATACCTCAACTGACATACTTCCCCTCTGTGCTGCTACTTAAGATTTTTCTAGAAAACTTAACTCTTCTTAAATACTAGAAAAAAAATCATGATGAACTATACCTTCTCCCTTTTACAAATTCCTAGAACTAAAGCTAACTAAACTGGCTCTAAGTAATCAGATGCTAAAAATGGCAATGACTGACAAAGGAAAGAGCCTTACCGTAATACACAGGGTTGCGTGTCCCCCACCACCTGAATGTGAAGACAAAGGTTTGCGTTGCTTTGGGAGCAGGGAACAAAGATGGACGACCTACTATCATATCAAGGCGACCCTGGAGGTTGCAAAAAAAGAGTCAATAAGAACATTCTGCAATGTTAGAAAGAATAAAATTAAAGCACTACTTCCAGCTCAATAGGTGTCATTATCCAGAGTAGAAGCAAAAAAAAAAAAAAGTCAATTTTACAGTATTTGCTTAGCAACAGGAACAAGCATTTAACAGTAACTCATAAGAGCAAACAAAGCATATCATAATGTCCAAAAAGTAAAACTCCCTAAATTGATTCCCCGTCCTTCCAGATAATGCTGTAATAGCAATAGCATAATGCAAAATACTTAATGTAATACCTAACAAAATCATAATCATCTGTATCATAATAATCTTAACAAAATCAATAAATAAATAACAATAAAAAAAATATCTCCCCAATCTCTTTGATAACAGGCCATACTGTGACGGCCCTCCACTTGGGGAGGGAGTGTTCTGTCCGCCATGGCATTGGCTGACTGCTAAGACTTCTGGAATAAAAGAAATGTATGTAAAAATTGCTTCAAAATACAAAATCTAAAAAATGATACTGCAATATCATTTTGGGATATACAAAATAGAACTATAAGAGAAACATGATATGGATTAAATACAAATATCAGACGAGCTTCCGTAGTGGGAAAAAAGATGTACATAAAAAAAAAATAATAATCACATGTGTATGACTGTTGGGTGAAGTGGACAAGACATATTTGTTTACCCAAAGATTAACACACAGAGCAAAGAGTGTATTAGACTTTTACATTCTACAATGCAAGATTACACCATGGTCAATCTGAGACACCCCTTTCATATGACTTAAGCTGCATGACACATTTTGGCAAGCTTGGCGAGGAAACAAGATGTTTTTGTTTCAATTTGTAGATTATGATCCATAACTTCTACAAAATCTCCTCATTTATATTTTGCAACGTGAAATAGTCTATAAAGGCGATTGTTTTGTGCAGCTATGCACCATATATGTGGGATTAACAAAAGAGA